GAGAGCTCGGGTGAAGCCCGAAAGGCAAAGGAAGAGCTTGGGTTAAGCCTCATATTAAGGGAAAGGTTGGGTTTAACCCTTAAAGCTTAAGGGAAGAGCTTGGTTTAATCCCTTAAAGGCTAAGGAAGAGCTTGTTAATCGCTAATATTAAGGAAGAGCTTGGGTTTAACCCTTAAAGCTTAAGGAAAAGCTTGGGTTTAAGCTCTAAACTTTAAGGAAGAGCTTGGGTTTAGCCCCTAAAGCTTAAGGAGGAGCTTGAGTTTAACCCCTAATATTAAAGAAGAAGTTGGTTTAACCCTTAAAGCTTAAGGAAGAGCTTGTTGTTATCCCCTAATATTAAGGAAAAGCTTGGGTTTAAGCCCTAACCCTTAAGGAGGAGCTTGTTGTTACCCCCTAGAGGAGAAGACGTTCCGGAGGGCGGGAACGTTGGGGCTGGACTCCCTCTCTCCCCCCTAGGATGGCCGGGAACAGCCTGGTGCTGCCCATCGTGCTGTGGGGCCGCCGGGCCCCCACGCACTGCGTGTCCACCCTGCTGCTGCTGGAGGACGTGCCCATGGTGGTGAGCGGCTGCCACGCCGGGCCGACGGGGGGGGGGGGCGGCCTGCCACGACGGGCAGATCTGCCTCTGGGACCTTGCTTGGGATCTGCAGGTGAGGGCAAAGCCTGGGAGAATCCCGCTTTTCCTGCTGCTCCCAGCGGAGGGGGGGGGGTGTCCTTGGTGTTTCGCTTGAGGAGCTGCAAGTAGCTGCTCCCCCACCTGGTCTCTTGCTCCCAAGAGCTTTACGCTGGTGGCCTGGATGAGCTGAAGAATCCATGTTCCTCACTAAAGGAATCCCATAGGTTGGCTCCCCAAAAGGCTCAGTGCAACGTGTGCAAAGAGAGGGAGTAAAGGGGGTGTGGAGTAACTAACGGTGCCTCTCTCCTGCTTCCTCCTCCCAGCTGAACCCCAGAGCGCTGCTCTTTGGCCACACGGGCTCCATCACCTGCTTAGCAAAGGCCTCTGCTTCCAGCGACAAGCAGCACGTGGTGAGCGCCTCCGAGAGCGGGTGAGTTCCCAAGGGATGGCCTCGGATCCAGGGATTGGAGCTGGGAAGGTGGAAGGGGGAGGCGGAGGCGTCCACACGTCGCGGTGCTCTCCCTCGGCCTCTCCTCCTTCCCTCTGCAGTGAAGCAGCTCTGCTCTAGCAGCAGAGCGCTTGCTCTTCCTGTAGAGGCGTTCCAGAAGGCAGGAATACTGGGCCTGGGTTTGGTCCAGGGAGTTGGAGGCAACCGCTGGTAGCAAGAGCCTGGAGTAGCCTCGCAGTAGAGGAGCAAGCGTTGGAAAGGGCCCGTTCTAGTGGCGGGGGGTTGGGCCTGCATGATCTTAAGCCCTTTCCCAAGCCAAGCCGGTTGTATCCTATGAGTAAGAGGCGAGGAACGACATGATTTAGCCCCCAAACACCCTTTGTCTCCTCCTCCTCCATGGTTTCCCTGCCTTTGCTCCTGCAGGGAGATGTGCCTGTGGGATGTGAACGATGGGAGGTGCATTGAGTTCACCAAGTTGGCGTGTACACATACAGGCATCCAGGTGAGTACTCGGGGTTGGAAACCTTTAGCAGCCCCACCAGGGCTGCGACGGGGAGTTGAGCCACGTTCCCTTGTTGTCCTCCAGTTCTATCAGTTCACGGTTGGATCCCAACGGGAAGGAAGGCTCTTATGCCATGGCCACTATCCCGAAATCCTTGTCGTGGATGCCACCAGCCTGGAAGTCCTTTATTCCCTGTTATCCAAGATCTCTCCGGACTGGATCAGCTCCATGACTATCCTGAGATCCGACAGGACTCAAGGTAAGGAGCTGCTCCTGCTTTCACCAGGGCGTTGGGAGGAGCAGCTTCAGCTTCAACCTGGTGTAAAGGCTTTGAGTGGGCCCAGCCAGCAAGAGCTAAGCTTAAACCCCAACCTCCACTTGGCTTTACTCCTAGTGTAACGCCTTTGTAGCGGCCCTGCCAGGAGCTGGTGGCGGGTCCCTTGGGAGCCCTCCCATTCCAAGATTCCAGGAAGGAATGGTTTGTGCTCACATCCCCTCCTGTTTGCTCTTCCCCAGAGGACACAGTGGTGGCTGTCTCAGTCACTGGCATCCTGAAGGTCTGGATCGTAACCGCGGAAGCGAGTCGGATGCAGGTGAGGAAAAGCTGCTGGATCCGTGGTATTCCTGCCGTGGGGAAGGGGCAACCTCTTTCCACGCTGGGTCCTCTTCTTCCCACTCAATGCCGGGGGTTTCTTCCCTCTTGGCCAGTGGAACAGCCACTTCCTGCGTTTTCCTTCCCTGATTCCTCCCGTTCCCAGCAGAATTCCCACCTTTGCTCCTGTGTGATTGGGAGAACTCTCGTTCCCTCTTTGTCCTGTGTAGTAGTAAGTGTTACTACACAGATGTGGGTGCTCCCCCTGAGGTGTGGGTGCCCCCGTCTTGCCCCTCTTTACAAGTCCTCTTCCTTCCTTAAGTTCTCTGGCACCCCCTCCCTCGGGAATGTGGCATTCCAAAGGGAATTCAGGTGCGGAGAGGGTTACACTACGGTTAACTCGCAACCCTCCAGCTGGATGCAAATGCTTTACTACACACATAATGCGCCGAGTAGGGCCGCAGCTCAGCTCTCCTCACTGTAAGCTCGTGCCCTGTCGCCCTACTAGGCGGTGTATTCTCATTGTAAGCTCGTGTGTGCCTGCAGGACACAAGCCCAGTGTTTGAAGAGGAATCCAAGCCCATCTACTGCCAGAACTGCCAGAGCATCTCCTTCTCTGCCTTTACTCAGAGGTCCCTCCTGGTGGTGTGCTCCAAGTACTGGCGGGTAAGCTCAGCGCTACTCCCTGCTTCTTACTCCAGCTCCCAGCTAAGACGGTGAGCTCAAGGTACTCCAAGTCCTCGTCACTGCCTCTCCATGGAAGCCAAAAGGGGCATTTGGGAAGCAGGGAATGATCTCCCACCTCTTTGGCCAACCCACTGTCCCACCAGCTTGATGGTGAAGAACTTGGGCCTAAGCTCCCAGCTCCATGTCCCTTCCAGCGGGTTAAAGCCATTCCCAATGTCCTCTCCTTCCAGGCCCTTGGCCGGAAGCCCTCATGTAGCTACTCTAAGGCCGAGTGTGAACCTGGAGTTACTTCCTAAGCCCAAACTCTTGCTTCCCTGCAGGTGTTTGATGCTGGAGATTACTCCCTCCTGTGCTCAGTGCCCAGTGAGGACCATCAGACCTGGACCGGAGGTGACTTCCTCTCAGCTGAGCAAGTGATTGTGTGGACAGAAGATGGCCAAAGCTTCATCTATAAGTTACCAGCCAGGTAGACAACAAGCAAACAACTCCTTGGAAGCCCTTGCTCGCAGCTAACCCCACGAGTAACTTTGGTCTTGACTTGGAGGCTTGATGTACAACTCGGTGTAGTGGAAGGAGGGGAGCTTTGAGGGTCCCTTCCGACCCCAAGCACTCCAGGAGTTGATGTTGACATCCAAAGCCAGGCTTCCCTCACTCATTCTTCCTTAAGTTGGGAATTAGCCTTGGGGAACTGCTCCCCCCACTGGTGGAGGTGCTGCTTCAGGCCTCATCCAGCAGCTCTTTGTGTCCTTTCTCCTTGTCCTCTCCCCAGTTGCCTCCCGGCCAGTGATTCCTTCCGCAGCGACGTCGGGAAGGCGGTGGAGAACTTGGTCCCTCCCTTGTTGTCCAACGTGCTGGACAGAGCAACCCAAGAGGTAAAAGAGACGGAGCTGCTTTGGTGCCTTCAGGCTGCTGTAGGCAGCTACAACTTACTTACGTCATGGTTACTCCTTCTCTAGCAAAGCAGAGCTTTAGGATGGCTTCTCTTCCAAGTAGAGCTTTAGGATACTTTCTATTCCTAGTAAACCTTTAGGATGCTTTCTATTCCTAGTAGATCTTTCGGATGCTTCCCATTCCTAGTAAACCTTTAGGATGTCTTTTCCTTTCCCTGCTCTTCACATAACCACAGATTGACTCTCTGCTTAAGTGCCTCTTTACGTCCTGCTTACTCCTTCCTCACTTAGCACTGCCTGGAGAAGTCAGAGTCAAGCCCTGCTAAGGCAAGAGGCGAACAAGGGCTTTTAGAGCCCACAACTTAGGAGCTGAAACCCTTCCAAAGTGAAGTAAACCCCGTGTGGGCGCCCCGAGTCCTCTTTCCAGCTCCTGACACTTAGTTGTATCATTGTAGTTACTCTTCCCCCTCTAAGCTGTAGGGCTTTTTGCCCCGGGAGAGGAAGTGGTGAGTTTACAACCCCCTTTTCCTGCCCTCAAGCTGTTAACTCGGTGTTGCTGGGACCTTCCCCAGCTCCTCATCTGCCCTCCAGTTACTCGCTTCTTCTGTGGCCAGAAGGACTTTACCTACAAGCTCTTGATCCAAGGCGACTCTTCGGGAAGACTCTCCATCTGGAGCATCCCCGAGGCTCTCGAGCAGCAAAGCGGCAAAGCGGTGCGAAAGGTCCGTGAAGGTTACTCTGAGCACCTCTTCCTGCCCCAGCCGTGGGGGGCAAAGCACCGGCGTCAAGAGGAGGCCGAGAGGCCAAGCGCGAGGAGGCTCGAAGGTGGAGAAGAGCCCGCGTTCTTCAGCCCTTTCCTCCCCCTGTGCCGCAGGCCCG